CCCCCCGCCCCCGGTATTTGTTGTAAAAAGGCTTCTAATACATTGAAGTGGCTGTTGCAAATTTGCATGACTTGTTACCATTCCTTATGTGCTAGCTACACTGTGGGCTGATGTAAGATGCATTTGTTCTCTTGGCTTGGATCTGCAAAACAAAAGACAATTGCTGATTTTTAAAACTGTGTGCTTACGTAGACATAGAGAAATGGTAAGTCTTATTTTGTGCTTTGGTATTGCATTATAAACAGATAATTGTTCCAAGAAATATAACTAGTTCATAAAGCTAAAGTTATATTTTTTAAAATGTACTGTAATTTGAGAATTACAGTGTGTCTGACTGCCTAGCAAAGCCCAAGAGTGTATTTGGACAAGAAATAAAGGAAAAAAATAAAATAATGGAAACAAAGTGAGATTTCCAGGGCCAATGGAGATCTGAAGAGTGAGTTGCACCTTGGAAGACTGAGCTTGCTTATATTTCAGATTGCAATAATTCTAATTTATTTCAATTACAAGAAAAAAAAAATCTGTAAAGTATTTTGCAAAGTGTGTTTCAAATACTCTCTTGATGTTTCTGTGACAGTGTTCATTTAAACAACTCATCGGGAATGCACAGCCTGTTTCATAGGCTTTTCTCTATGCAATGGAGGGATGTGCTTCATTTTCCTGTGCTGTTTGCTGTGGGACTCTGTATGTGTAATGAATGTAGAACCCCGAAAGCTGATCATCACGTCTTCTGTTTCTGGGCAGAGGACCAGCAGTAGCACAGCCTGGCTGTTTTGTTGTCCTGTCAGCAGAGAATCCGAATTTAAAAAGTTCAGATTTAGACCTGAGGAGCATACAAATGTCACATTTTTGGAGGCTAACTGATCAGAGTCAGAATGGGAGCATGGTGTCTGAGCTGCCAGATGTGTGCCACTGGTGTCACATCATTCACATTGACTGCTTGACTGAAGAAAACTTTGCTAATCTCTTACCAGTTCTTTGAGCCCCCACCTCATTCCTCCACTAATGCCAGCAGCTTCTTATTGAGGGATTCCATAGTGAATTTGCATTGCTAAAGCAGGTTGGATTTTTTTAGTAGACATCTTGTACATTAAATTCTATGAATTATTAGTAAAGGAAGTAAAGCAGATGAAAACTGGCCCTTGACTAATTAACCTAAACTATAATTAACCTGTTGCTTAGGAAAAGAAATGTTTCCTGTAACTGAGTGTTCCTACCTTTTTCCTTTGTCTTGGGTTTGATCAAAAGATAAATACTGAGAGTAAAAATACAGTATAAATTAGGAGGTTTCTTGGACATTTTTACTGATACTCTTGCAAAATCACCAATTCATCACTGTCTGAAGAGTCCCATAAAGCAGTATGTTATGGGAATTATCACTAGCATCCTTCTTTCCCCACATTACCTCTTCCCTTGGTTCAGCGGTTTTAGGTCTGCTGGTTTTTGAGCTAGTATGGAATGCCAAATGTGGGGTTTTGAGGCAAGTGGTGAGCTGGGTTTCCTCACTGAGGATAAGCAAGCAGCCTTAAAGTCAATGGTAGTGTTCCTTTGCAATGATACAGAGAAGGTGATGGGGAACATGAAGTAGTCTTAGTTTTTGTTTGGCTGTGTTTTCTGTCTGGAGATCTTGGAATTCAGGCATTTCTTCTCTGACTGCTGGGTCCTGAACCTAAACAGCATCTGTGCTTGTGAATACTGCAAGTTTCTTCACTATGTTGTTGATAATGGATGGATACATAGATAACTTACAAGCACTGTAAATGATGGGGATATAAATCTATAAACTGATCGTATTTAGTTGTTTACTGTAATATGTTTACTGCTGCTGTACAGGACAGATAATACATCCCTGCTATGCAACGTTACAATAATATCATGCTTACAGTTCTTCTCTATTAGCCCCAGTTACAGTGTTAGCATACCTACTGCTTACATTGCCCTATGAACTTCCCATATCACTGCACTTGTTAACACACTTTAGAAGTGGGTGTATGTTTTGCATTTTTAACAAGAATTAATTTTTAATGCTTTCACACTTCTTAACTTCATGTTGTTTCAACAGCCTTGGAAAGAATTCAGCATTTTGTATTTCATAAGCACTTTCATGATTTGATAAGTGATTTTTGTCATCTCATGAAAAAAATTGTATGTTTCTTATTCCTATAACTCCCATATGTGTCTTGAACTCAGCTCTTATGTAATGGTCCTTTATTTTTTGGTTATAGGACATAATTTGATGACATAGCAAACTTTTTAAAAACTTTTGTGTTTGTATTCTGGAGCTTTAATGATGCAGCTCTGGAAACACAGCATTTAGAATACACATTGTCAGTGAAGTAATTATGAACTCTTGTTGCAATACAAGAATATTACACCACTTTCTCTAAGCCCCTAGCCCCAAATGCTTCTCCACACAGAAATGCACATAAAAACTGTTTTGTTACTCAAGCATTAGTTGTTCACATCTCTGCTTACTATGCACTTCATGGTAAAAAATATTTAGACTTTTTGCATGTAGGCATTACAAATGAAGATAATGTAAGCAATTCTAGCAGGTGACACATGGGTTGTTATCACTAGCAAGAAAGCTGCTGTATGCATATTGACTATAAATCAGGTCCAGGCTTTGCTTTTCCAAGCTTTTTTATTTTTTAAACAAGGGTGCACTGCTTAACACTATGAAATGTTTCCAAACCTTTATTGACTGGTTCAGGTTCTTTGTAGGGTGTAAAATCATTGGTGCTAGCAGAACAAAGTTGCATCAGAATATTATCTTGGAAGCTCTATGACTCATGTTAAGAGTGACAGATTATTAAAAATGTCCTGGAATCATTACGTTACTGTCCTTTATATGTATTTATTTTTGCTCTGTGAGATGAGTTTTTAGCTATATGAAGAAATGTCTTTTAAGAAAAACTCCATTCTCCCAAGTTAGGTAGTTCCAGATTGGACTACAGGAGAAGTGTCTCTTGTTTGGAGTCTCTTCAAGCTGGTGAGCAAGTTGCTAGGAAGATGGGTTATTAAACAGTATGGGCAACATGGTCAAAATATGTATGGCAGTATAGCTTATGGCATTGTTGTTCATTATTAGATATTTAACGTGTATGTGCATGGATGCAAATATTTTTGATGTATACGGTTGTAAGCATACACACAAATTCTAGCTACAGCTCTAAACAGTATTTGAAGTGTAAGAGTTTAACTGTGTTAAAAGACTTGAAATTATAAGGGCAAAGGTATTCCGTGCAGGTCTTGCTATAAATATTATTTGTACTGCATTACTTAACCCCTATTGGTACCTTTGTTTCTGGAAGGTGGATTAAAAATGAATGGGAGACACGTTAATCGCAATTTAAATGGTGAAAAGTTGCAGTTCTGTCATGGCAATTGCTCATTGTTTTGTCTTGGTCCTCTGACATCATTGTCCTTGTCTTTTTCTTGTCTCTGCTTTCCCATTATGCCATTGGCAAGGAGTTGAGAAGTTAGTCCATTACTTCTGTGATAAAGCGTGGTACGGTACAACTTCAGATTTCTTCCCATCTCCTCCTCACGCATTTTCACTCTTGGTTTTTTTGCCCTATGCATGATGCATGTCTATTGGAGATGTGCATGCAGTTTTCCCATTTCTCATTGCTTCACTTGCCTCGTTCTTCAAAATACTGCAGGGAGAAAATATCTTTATTTCATCCTACAGAAGTATTGTATAGGGAATCGAGATGGGGATTGAGGTTAGAGATACAGAACCACCAAAGCAAAACTGAAGGGAATTTTAAAGTAGTGATGCTGCAATGACTATTACTGTCGTGACCACATTGATCTAACTTCTTTATTGGTATAACATACTCCTCTCAGTCTTCCAACACAAAGCTAATGCAATTTCAGTTGTTCAATAACCGTGTAGTAATGGTGATCCTCTTTGTGGATATGTTGTCATTTTTTTCTGGATGATGTAACAGCCAGATTTACTTGAGAGAAACAAGAGAAAATTTCTTAGGCTGATGTGGCAGGGACTGTAATTTAGTAATTTTGATTGGTGCATCAATACATGCAAGTGTTTGAAGCTCTTGCCCGTGCAGAAAAGTCTGTTTCTTTGTTGTGCAAAAAGGAGCATGTGCACAAAGCGTTCTGTCTAATGTGCTTTCATTTTGGGGAGGATTAATTCTCTACAGTGGTATTAGAGATGTCTCAGAGTCCAACTTCATATTTTAGGAGTATCCCAAAGGAATGCAGGTGTTTGTATATTTTGTTTATGGGACAGAAACAGAAGTCCTGTTAGCGTGACAGTCATGGTCTGTCCTGCCCTGAAATATTATCAGAAGTGCACTCAAAGCAATGCAGATGACAAACTGATTTTTTTTTTTTTAAGATTTCCATCAAATAAATTACTATTCCTAGCAGGTGTAATGCTTCTTTATCTTTCTATTCCCCCTCCTTCTTGTGATGGAATTTGCCAAGTACTAGTCCTGCTGGCTGTTGGTTAGTTTTGGGGTGGTTTTTTGACTAATAATGTGATTGTAATTTATTAAGTTTATCCTAGTAAATGGAAAGCTTGTGTATAAGGCAAAGATGCAAGCTGTGGGTGAAGATAATACAGTTTTCAGTGTTAGAAATCTTGTTAACAGTTACTTGCATATTTTGGAAATGGTTTTCTTTTCTGCTTTCGGTGTCATTTTGAATGTTAATGCGTGTAGCGATTTCAAGAGATTAAAATCTGTAGTTAAGATAAATGGACAGACTGACGAAGTAGACATACAAAATTAAAAAACAGTACAGTATTTAAAAAAAAAGTAGCAAAGATGGTATCGTAGCTTTAGTGTCCTCATTCTCATAAAAAGTCCTCATAAACACGTAGATGTTTTCTACCTTTGAATTGCTAACTTTCTGGATATTAATCTGCTTAAAAGTTTTTAGGTTATGAAGGATAATGAGGAAAATATGGGGTTTATGTGTAAAAATGAAAAATTGTCCAAATGGAAAAGCTGAAATATTACCTAGTTTTTGTCAAAAGAACTCAAAATAGTGTTATCAAAAGCTTGCTGCTTTGCTGTATTTCGGATGTTTTTGGGTTTAACTCAAGTTTCCATATAAATTTAGTTTCTTCTGTAGCTTACAAATTTTTCATTTTGCTTTTTAGTCTAACTAGGATTATTTGATATAAAAATAGGATTTGTAATGCTCAGATATTTATCTGCATTTTTGAAGACTGGCATTTAGAAACCCATTCTAGGTGAGGGGAAATTTTTTTCTGATTATTATTTTTACATCTTAGAATTTAACATAATACTGTTTGCTATAAACGTACTAATTTTTGACTTTCAGGTAGGATTAGAAAATCTGAACTATTTGTTGAAGTGTTCGTATGGTAATCAGGTATATGTTGCTTTGGTTTCTACACTCATTTTTTGCAGTTTTGTTTTTGCAGGTGAGGTCTCAAATCAATAAATCATTTTGGCTAACATTTGTCTGTCAGCTCCTAAGCTGGAAGGATAATGACTTCTGTAACCCATTACATAAACACTGAAAAATGACAAAAATATCTAGTGGATTCATTTTTTTTTAAGCTGTAACTCACTGAATAAATTGAATTATTAATTGTGTTTAGTACTTCGGTCCTGTAGGATTGCATGGTAAGACGGATTCACAAAGTTGAGCTAGATTTGGTCACAAAAGGAAAAATGTTTTGATACTCATTTGATACCATTTCAAAGGCTTTTTTGTGGTGTTTTTTTCTGTCCTTCTCCCCCTTTGCCAAAACAGTTGTATTCAGATTTCTCAACATACTTCACTTACCCGTCTATCAAGTCCTGGTGTCACTGGTCCAGCTTAGATGTTGCCTTTGCTTGCAGGTAGAACTGGTATATTCTAAAGGGAAAAATGGCTAGTAAAGCAAAACTAGATTGAGAAACATTGATATTTCTCTCATTACCATTATTTTTTTTTTTCGTAATGGGGAATTTTGAGGGTTCAGTTTTCAGTAGTAATCTTGCCAGGGAAAAGATGAAAAGCTTAAAGAATCCCGAGATGTGCTGTCGTCCTAGAAATATAACAGGACTTTGGCATGCACAGGTCTCATTACATTCTTCCTGCCGATTTTAAGAAGAACTAAAAAGACGAGACAAATAATTGGCTTTCTCATTTAGAAGCTGTGAATAATTCAAGAGAGTGACTGAAGTGACATTTTAGTCAAATCCCTTAAAGACAAACGTTGTTTCTTTCTTAGTGACTATATTTCACTAGTAAACAAATATCATAAGCCTGTTTGCTATGTACATGCAATCTATCAATTTGTAAGAATTCAGGTAGTTTAGGGATAAAAATAGCTTGTAGTAGTTCAGTTCCCTTCCTTTATAAAAAAAAAAAAAAATTTAATCGTGAAACTTGCTAAAACTATAGTTTAAGTTTTAATAGGTTTTGGGCTTTGCCATGAATTGCAGAACTTTTAATAATTCCTCTAAGATCCGTATACAAGTTGCAGGTCTACGATGTGTTTGTGAAGCTAGCACATACAGAATGACAGAATAGTCAGGGTTGGAAGGGACCTCTGGAGATCATCTAGTCCAACCCCCCTGCCAGAGCAGGGTCACCTACAACAGGTCGCACAGGACAGTGTCCAGGCGGGTTTTGAATGTCTCCAGAGTGGGAGACTCCACCACCTCTCTGGGCAGCCTGTTCCAGTGCTCCACTACCCTCAAGGTAAAGAAGTTCCTCCTCATGTTAAGATGGAACTTCCTATGTTCAAGCTTGTGCCCATTACCCCTCGTCCTATCACTGGGCACCACTGAAAAAAGACTGCTCACATCCCCCTGGCATGTGAGGGATACCTTAATCTTTAAAGTGTTTTTACAGGGAAGAGCAAAGAGAAAATAAAATGATCCAGAAGAGGTAATGGCAATTATCCCGACTGATACATGTATGATCAGATTATATCTTTCGATGAAATGTAAAATCTTCATTAGGTTATCAGTGTATATGATCTCTGGTATATGATAGTTTATGATCTCTAGCTTCATACGTACTCTCTTGTACTGCTTTGTTGAAGATGATTTGTTTGTCAGCGCATTTGAAAGATAAGTTCCCTAAATCTAGTCATTAACCTAATTACAACATACCTATATCAAACTTTCTGACCTCAGTAAGGCAAGGAGGATGCACTGTAAGTTCATGTGGTCCATTAAACACCTTTCCTGCCTGTACACTGTATAATGTTGATCAAAGGTTTGGGATAGTTAACTTGAGTATGAAGTGAATAGAAATTAAAAGATGCATACAGTCTGATAGCCGTTGCATTTGTTTATTAAGCGCTTAAATCAGAATTGATTTAATGGCACTTGTGTGCCATTCTCATGCTGTCCTGCAGATTTAGGTGAACCCATCAACCATACCTTTTTCATGTTTCTTTAAGCTAATTTGTTTCTTTTTGTCTTTATGTTGTTGTGTATTTCAGTGCTGGTATAACTTTTTCTGCTTAAGTTACATTTGTACATGTCCCATAAATCATCCTGTTTTGCCGAAGTCAAAGTTTTGGTTTTAAAAAAACAGATATACAGCCTTTTTCAAGCATCCAGTCAGCGCATGTTGGATTCAGAATGTTATCTAGTGTTTTCTTTGCCTAATGTATTATTGTATTCTTTTCTCTTTAACAGCCTCAAGTACTACAGCCTTCCAACAGCCTTCCCAGTTCCACAGACCTCGCCCAGGGAAAACTAATAAAAATGCCACATATCGAGGCCCACAGTGAATATCCTAAATATGGTCTGCATGAAAATAGCAATCATCAGAATCAAAATGCTGCAAATGTCTCTCTCATAAATAGCCTGAATGATGTAAACTCTTTAATGAGCATACAGTTAAACAGAAAAGATGAGAAAGCATCATATTTGGAAAATTTGAAAAATAAAAATACTGAAGATCCTGGAGAGGTGGCTAGTAATAAAGGAGGTACATTACCATCTCGTTCCTGTTTTCAGACCTCTACGCGAGCTGATGCTAGAGTGGTGCAGACTGAATTAGCTGTGAAAGGTCAACCCTCATTCACAAACCAGGCTTCTCGGCCAAAGACTTTAAGAATCGCAAAGCCCCAAAATGCTTTAGTGCCTCCGACGATGGCCGTTCTCACACGATCTGCAAATCATTCCGCTGCTTCCAAGGAACGTGACCTTCTACCGTCAAGTAGTTCAACTCAGCTACAGCCAACATCTGGTCAGGATAACCTAAAGGGTAAACAGAGTCAGAAAGTGTCTAAACTTCGCCCACCAACTATGTCTTTTGTTAAATCTAAGCAAATGAGCAGTCAGAAATCCACACCAGTATCTGCAGAGCCTCAAAACACCTGTTTGAAGACTAACATCCCAAAGCCACCGGTACAGAGAAAGGAAAACGTGCAAACACAGAATACCGGTTTGCATTCTGGGGATAGTTTACCCTCTAATTGGCATTCCCGCCTCCCTAAACCAAAGACACATTGAGAACGTACCTACATCTCATTGAATGATGCCATAAATTAAACCACTTCCTATGTGTTGGCTGCCTTTGAGGCTGCTTTATCTACAGCCTGCAAATCTGAGTGAATATTAAAAATAGCATCTTCCTTTTGCGTTTGCATACTCCATCCTGTTATCTTGAGGCTCATTTTATGAGCTGTGCAGCTTCTCTTGAGAGTGCGTATTATATCGTAGGTCTGTATTAAAGATTGTGTTGCCCAGTGATCTTAGTAATTAAGCAAATATTGAAGTCTGTGGTAATCACGAATGCCAGAATGCTGCACCATATATTTCAGGATGGTCAAAATCATTTCTTACCTCTGAGTTATTAGACAATGAAATTACTCTTCAGTTTAACTTCTTGGTTCTGAGTACTCGTTAGGTTAGAGTGGTGGAAAATTAGACTTACTAGCAGATGTTTTATTGGCCATAATTCTGACTCTGTATTCCAGAGGCCTATGCAAAAATCCTTGTATTTATCATTATCTCAAGACTGACATATTTAATGTTATTTAATCTGATGGGTTGGGTGGGTTGTGTTGTTTTGTTTTGCTGTAATCTGAAGTTGCTCTGTTCTTTATTTATCCCGTTTTCACTGTTCACAGACAATAAGCAGATTTCACAGGGTGAATCGAATCTTCTCTCTTAAACATCATCATTTGTTAAGATTGTGGTATGTTTTTATTGTGTTGAATAGACACATTACCAGGTAGATTCTTGAAACGCAGTGCTAAGGATACTTGTGCAAAACCTTCCAATACGGGCTCTTATGAATTGGTAAGTAGGGAGCCTCTGGGAATAAGGGGTCCATACACCTATGTTGACGTTGCACAACATGCATTTTAATTAATAGTTTTTAACTTCTATTGTACTACTTGTATTTATTGATTTCTGTTTAATATTGAGAGACTCTGAAGTACCTGACTTGAAATTTTGCACAAACTTTGCCATATGTGTAAGGATTTGAAACTATTTTACAGAATAAAACTTGTATTAAAAAAGCAACTATTTAAAAAAAAAAAAATAACCCCACTTATTTGCTTTGAGCAATCCTATTATGTCCTAATCCAGAGCTGGTACTCAAGAGTTTTTCAGAGATGTGTATTTTGGTTTTGGGTTTTTGTAAATTTTTTTTTGGTGTAGTTTCTAAAGAAGTGCATGATAACTGGGAAGGAGCTTTTTGGGGAAATAAAGCAAAAAAAACATTTTTCTGCGCTCTAGGAGAAGTATTTTTTCTGAACGTGGTCTGGAAATACATGCCCATCACAGTGCAGCTATGGGACCATGACACATGTGCTCCTAGTTGAATATATGCATATCCAGTGAAGCTTTCCAGAAACTTAATGTTATGTCCCATCTCCAGTTCTTCCCTTCTTTCCCATCACTGTCTCTTGGATGTTACTACTTGGGTTTTTTTCTGTTCTTGAATTGGTTTTACAATTGGCAGCAGAAGGTCGTTACAATTACTTTGCTCAAAATCTGTTCCTGAACAGCATATAATGTCAGTAAAATGAAATGTAGTCATAGTTTGTTCTAGGCTTTGGCTACAAGATGTTGACATACTACAGTATTTCCTTTGAGAGAATTAAAGTGAATAGGTATAGACATTTCATAAATAAGTTCAATAATCAACTTTTGTAATGTAAGCCCTAGGGGTATCCTGATGGATATCTTGGTTGGATTGGAGAAGGAAAAAAATATAATCACTAACCTGAATTTTTCAGTGCATCAATAATGTCCAGGAAAGTCTTTGGATTTGTCACACTGTAAATTCTTTTAACTGAAAATGAAGAGGAAAAATGAAAAGCCTGGGGGGAAATGGGTAGGGGGGAGGTTCTATTTCAGAACTGCTTATGTTAATCTGAAATAAGAGACCTTCAGGACTTCCTGTTAACTGGGGCGAAGACAATGTAAGTGAGAAGTAACAAGGGTAACATTAATTGTTACAGTTGATACAGGATCAAAATAACTACAATTCAAGATTGCTGCAACAATTATTCTCCAAGAAAAATTCTTTCTTTCCTTGAAAAGCATTGAATTAGATGGCCTTTGGTGTAAGCTTTTACTTTTGATAAGAAAATGAAACTAACTTTTTATATTCCCCAAAACTTGCTCCTGGCAGCTAACTGTGTTTCTCAGGAGTTTAAAAACTGCTGAGGGAATGATCAGATTCCTAGGTTGTTTTCCGGTCCATATAGATTTCTATGGAAGGTGTGTGTGGTTTTCTTTTTTTTTTTAAAGTTTACTTTCCTTGAAGAGGAGCTGATTTTTATTTTTAGTTGTATAATTTTGTGTAAAAAAAGATGATTTTCACTTTATGCTATTGACAGAGATATTTCACCATGAGTTCTTTTGCTTCTTATTCTGGAGGTATCACCAGCCTGATTTAGTGATGTTAAAATTTTTATGTTTACATTTAAAAGTATAGATATCTGTCTGTCTGCACCTTTACTGAAAATAAAGGAATGAAGCAAAGAGATGATCAGGGTTTTCATAGGAAAAAAAAAAAAGTCTTTTTTTTCCGGAAGAGCAAAAATCTGTTTATTCTGTGGCAGTTCTTTCTGTGTTAAAGGATCCTAAGTAGATTATATTCTTTGTTATAGCATTTCCCCATTTTGTTCTGACAGATTAGTGAGACATTCAGCTGGAAACAGCAGGATTTGATCACGGATGAGACAGATGCTAGCCTGAGTTGTATTTGTATTCAGCTGCTAACCTCGCATCCCTCTAAAGACAACTACATCTTTTGGCTCTTCAGACTTTACCAGGGAAGGCTCTGTTGCATGTATAGTAAGTCCAGAGTATGAGCAAAGCTCGTCAGTAGATGGGCAACTGGAAGAGAAGTAGTGTAGCGAAGCCTGAAGCTTCACTTCAGTGAAGGACAGGGGTTGGGGCGAGATGGGGAAGAGGGCGCTGTGTAGAGCTTGGCAAATGGCATTAAGTAAGTATTTTCAGGTAACTTATCTGCTGAACGAAAGGTGCAGATATATCATCAGTACTGGTGCAGATTATCCTAAATGCATAAATTAAAGGGTTTGATATCTTCAGGGTTTTTTTTTTAGGTTTCTAAAACTGGTTTATTTTGCCATTTTTTTGGTTTTGATTTCTCGTTCTTTTGTGCAATATTCACAAAACTATTAAACTACTGTTCAGTATGTGTGTACAGAGGCAATTACGTGTTTTAACAAGTGAATAAACACAAAAGAAGAGAAGAGAATTGCACTTTAAATGAGCTTTATTGCTTGAAGTTGTGCCTAAAATAATCTAGATGCCTCCTGCTGTGCGTGGCTTCTGTTTGAAACTAATTTTCCTGCTAGTGTTGCTGTTTCCAACATATCTTCACATCACAGAATCAATATGCGCTCTAGCATGTTTAAAAATGTTCATATAGTGTACTGAGTTTTTGTTGTGCAATGACTTTAATTTAACCGTGGAATTATAACACTGCTGATGCAGCCAGATTATTACCTTCCCCTTCCCTGAAGCTTGCACTTCCTACTGCCAATCAAGGCCAATGGCAAAACTTCCCTAGGACTAGCACAGCCCTTAAAGAATAATGTTCCCATTATATGTTTTTTGAGAAAAGAAGTGCAATATTATCTCATAGACTTCCTAGAAATAATCGCAAAGGCCCTGAAAATCCAAAACAGCCCTGAATTTTTCATACAGTTCCGAAAAAAGTGGGTTCCTCAACTTTACATCTCATAGCAGTGAGACTAGATATAGCTACTAGACTGCATCATAGGTCAGTAAAATTAATTTCATTCTTGATCTAAATGCTGATTTGTTGTAATGATGCTAGAAAATGGAATACCATTTGCGTGATTTACTTTGTTTGCATGTCACAACCATATGCACATTCTAAAGTGTCTTACTCGGATAGGTTGCATGTTGGGGGGGAAGTAGTTCTGGTTTTGCACAGCACATAATCCTCTTAATAAGGACATTTTCTCTCCATACAAATAGAAACCCGTTCTTGAATTGGGCTTCCGTAACTATTCCTTATCTCGTTATAGTGGCTTTTTCTGAGCAGAGTGGATTCAGTACATGGTCCTGGTGGTAGGTCTCAGTATAGTAATCTTACAACTATGCTATCAAGGAAATTCAGTCACTGTTGTGGTAAAGCTGCTCACTGCCTACTTAATTGTAAAAGCACCACAATAAAAACAATATAATTCCAAGTGTCAGTGAAATCTTAAATTCAATACTAGCTAAAACAAGAGGTACCCTTACTATCTGCTTTGTTGTTTTTGGTTTTTTTAACCCAGGCCAGAGTAAATACTGTATATTGGAATTTGCTTGTAAAGTTGATTTAAAAACCTGTATGTAAAAATTCTTTCCTCAATGTTGCTCTAGTGAATAAAAATAAAAGTCATAATTCTAATAAGTATCTATTTCTCCTGACTGTTCACTTCCTGTATGTTTAAGTCATTGACTGC